AATACAGGGTTACAAGCTATTTAATAGGGATAGAGTATTAAAGAAGGAAGGAGTAGTGGCTTTATACATAAAATGTGAGTTACATTCTGTTGAAGTTGAGGATATCAAAGATAATAGCAAAGAGATTGAATCCATTTGGGTTTCTATTAGTGGATATAAAGGGAAAAGGCTTTTAGTGGTAATTTGTTACAGACCATCAAATGATACTGATGAAATTAGTGAGATTAAAATTTCAGCTGTTAATGAAGTTGTAATTATGGGTGATTTTAATTTCAGGCATATAGACTGGGTAATGCTAGTCAAACCATGAGAAAGAAAGGTTTTTGGAAACTGTTCAAGGTGGCTTCACAAATTAGTCAAGGAACCTACTAGAAACAATGATAATTTAGATTTATTGTTAACTTCAAACATAGAAATGATCGAGAAGGTGGAAATTGGGGTAACATCTGGGTGCAAGTGATCATTGCTCTATTAGATTTAATGTTTTGCTGCATATGGAGATAAGGAATAATGATATTTTGGTTACAAATTTTGAAAAGTTAATTTTGAAGGGATGCAACTAGAATTATCTGAATTGAGCAGTTGAGTTATTTGGAGACAGATTAGATGTGGAAAATTTTTCAAAGATAAATTATTAAATATTCAAGGTAAACGTACTTCTTATAGAAAAAAAAAAAAGGGTAACTGCAAGTAAAAATCCAGGTTAGCTCCCAAAGAGTATTAAGAGATAAAATTAAAGAAAAGCATCACAAATTTAAGAAATATAAATTAACTGGTATGACAGGAGATTTAGAAGTTCAGAAAGTTGGTGAAACGTGAAATTAGGACATCAAAAAAGGATGTATGAGAAAACGTTGGCTGAAAATATAAACAGTAAGGATTTCTTTAAATACATTAAGGGTAAACAAAATGTTAGGACCCTTGAAGTATGATAAAGGAAGGCTATTATTTGTTGATTATGAGATGGCTGGGTTATTAAATTTTGCTTTTTCTTCAGTTTTACTAATGAAGATTTAAGCAGTATTCCAGATCTTGAACAGTTGATAAATGGAAATAAGATCAAACAAGATGACTGCATTAATTGTGAGCTGGTTAAAGAAAATTGAGGAGCTTAAAAACTGGCAAGTCTCCTAGGACAGATATTTCCCCAAGGGTTTTGAAGGAGGTTAAAGATTGGATATGTGAGCCACTTACTACTATTTTTAAGTCCTGTAATGGGCAGCACCCTTAGGGTTAATCATTGTAGTTCCGACTGTACTGCTAATTACACCAAATTTATTTAGTTAAGGATTATAGTGGCGAGTGGAGCTCAAAAGTTGCTAACTTGAGGTGATTTACAGTTAGAATAAAACAGATTCAAAGATTATCATTGAACAAAATATAACTTTATTAGGTCTTTTCACATCAATAGTTAAACATTTATAGTATACACTGTTAACATCAATAGTTAAACAAAACCTTTACTGAACTCGCAACTTTACTTTTCACCTGTCAGTTAATACTATTAACCAGTACATATAGAATATTTCTCTCTAGTATAAGCATTAACTTCATTTAGTAAACTACATTAATTGAACAAGAGAGTGTAGCAATTCTACACTTACAACAGAGTTGGTCTGGTATACTTCTGGAGGTTGGAAACCTTCATATTCATAGTGGCTTGGAACTTTAATTCTTCCTGGGGATCACACTCTTTTAGCTCCAGACATGAGTTTTTAAACCATATTTTCTTTGTATTCTTTTGACCTTTCAAATAGTATTCCTGACTACCCGCAAGTAGTTCTAACACTTTATTGGTCAATTTGTGCAACTTCCTGGGCTAATCCAAAACAAGAACAAAAACTCTCAAGTAATTGGTTACTGTGATGGTGAGTGCTCCGGTTGCCTTTTCTCTTGTACTACTACACTGGTCTGGAGTAACAGATATCATATCAAAGCACCGATTTGAGATGCTATCATAAACATTTTAGTAGCTTCTATGGTGCTACTAACTCAGTGTCAATAACTTATCACTGTCAAACTTGTGACTAGCATTTTTCTAAGCGTCCTCACTAGTTTCATTGTTTTTTCTTATAACTCTTAACTCGTGAGCTGGTTAGGGAGCTCTACTTGCAATCTGCGGGTCTTGGGTTCGAATCCCCATCACAACAAACATGCTCACCCTTTCAGCTATGGGGGTGTTATAATGTGCAGTCAATCCCACTATTTGTTGGTAAATAAGTAACCCAAAAGTTGGCAGTGGGTGGTGATGACTAGCTGCCTTCCCTCTAGTCTTACACTGCTAAATTAGGAATGACTAGCACAGATAGCCCTTGTGTAGCTTTTTGCAAAATTCAAAACAAACAAACTTAACTTGTGATTCTCTTTACTAACTAACCCGTTAACTGGGCTTTGCCTAGTTCTTGACCTAATTTTGTAATACAGGTTTCCTTACTCACGCCATTTCTACATGTATGTGTATTACACTCAGAATACTTAATTTTCTATAGCTTTTTTCTTAACTCTTGATTATTAAAAATACTGAAGCAATTGTAAAATTCCTTCAAAAATATCCAATTGCTTCAGTCCTCGATTAGTGGGCATGTACCAGAGGATTGGAAGTTAGCTAATGTAACCCCTCTTTCCAAAGGAGGTGATAAAAATTGTCTCGGTAATTATAGACCCATTAGTCTTACATCAGTTGTGGGAAAAGTTCTGGAAAGTCTGAAAAAAGATGCTTTGCAAAGTCATTTAATAACGCTTAGAATTTTATTGGATGGTAAACATGGTTTCACTAAGGGTAAATCTTGCCTTACAAATATTTGACATTCTATGAAAAGGATACTGCTTATGTAGTTTAGGTAAGGGTGTAGATGTGATGTATCTAGATTTTTTTGTTTTTCCTATTCTGCATTTTTACACCATTTCAGCTTGACTTCTTTTGAGACAATTCTGAGAGGCAGTGTTTCCAAGTTACTTCTAAACTCATTGATGTTTCTATAAGCTGTTTAAGGCAAATGTTTTAATGTCATACACACAAGTTTTATTTGCTGAAAGACTAAATTTGTACTTAATAAAATCAAGTTTCAGTATATTTCATTCATATTTTGGCATTGATTTTACGTAATTGAAATACAGAATATTTAACCACATTAGTTACAAATTAGTGCTTCTGATGTATTTATCACCAAACATGCTAAATCTTTCAACCATGGGGGTGTTATAAAGTGATGGTCAATCCTACTACAAATAGTAGCCCAGTAGTTGGCATTAAGTGTTGTTAACTAGCTACCTTCCCTATTGTCCATCACTTCAAAAATATACAACTAGCACAGGTAACTTTTGAGAAGCTTATCATAAAAACTGAACAAACAATAAATCTATTTACAATTGTATTTCTGTTTTGAGATACTTGTCGTTGGACAAATCCTGAAACTTTTTGTTTAGTTCAGCCTTTGCACATAAAGGTGTATGATTTTTGTGTGTAGTTTATTAATAAATCTGGTATCTCATTTGATATCAGAATGCTTTTAATGGCAATCTAGATTGACGGTGACATCATCCGCCTGGCACCTATCCAGTTACTGGCTCGTGATATCTTGATTCTTCTCCATGAACATAATGGGGCCATACCACTGCCGAATTTTGAGGGGGCATACTTTCAACGTTTTGGTGTCCCTTGCCGTCCTGCTCAGTATGGATTTCAGAGTCTAGTTTCAATGCTACAGGCAATTCCAGACTACGTTCTTGTGAAAGGCCGTCGTAGTAAACGGATGATTTTGCTCAATCGTGACACAGCAGGTAGGTTTCTTTATTAGTTTTCTGTTTTATAATTTATTCTACATGTATGACAAGAACTTTCACCACTGAATGTTAATTCTATAAGCTTATAAGGTAAGTAGCAGTACTTTAACTGACTTGAAAAAAAACCTTTAGCATCTAGTTAGTTGTCATAAGTACTTAGTTGCTGACTTCAAAATGTATTAGTATAAAATTTTATTATAATATCTTAATAATTGTTGCTTTATGAGCTTTACCCACAAAATAATCAATGACTTGCTATAGAAATTAACTTGTAGTTATTGCAAATTAATCTTATGAGAAACTATTACAAAATTACTACACAGTTAATGTCTTTACATTTCTTTAATGCTAATATTTTGTGGCTACCTTTGGCATCAATAAAAGCTTGGCATCTTTCTGCCATTGTCTGTATTTCAAAACCTAGTGGGGGGGGGGGCTGTAGGTAATGTGATTTTTGTCACAAAAATAACTTCATTCACAGTTGGCTAATAGTATATTATGTAGTGATGCATTTGGAGATGTGTAGTATATTGTTTATCCAAACTTTTAGTAAGCTAGTTCTATGGCCAAAGTAAACAGTATGTTGGAAGGTAGTTGATTACATCTTTATTTGGTTGCTTTTACATGGGAATACTACAAATTGACAATGTAGCAAATCTGTTGATTGTGCATTTGAAAATTATGAAATTAGTGTAAATCCTTTTGTATTTTAGAAGAAAACTGTTTTGACACCTACTATACAAGTTAAGTGTTGATGAAAATGTTTAAATCACAAACTGCATACATTTAGACTGGTTTGTTCACAACTAGTTATGAGGTAAAAAATTTTTCAGTCATAATTTCTGATTAGTAATATTAGCTTCTAACTTCACAAATGAAAAGTATTATTGGAAAATTTAGTAATGTAAATTTCAAATTTATAAGATCTTTAATTATTATTTTATGGTATATAAAAGACATGGATGATGATTCTGATTTTAGATCAAAATATCTTGACTGAGTATACAGTGCCTTGAAACAAAGTGTTGTATTAAAAAAACAACTGATGCTACATTTTGACACCACATGGAAATGTTTAGGAAGGATTTCCCTTACAGATAATCAAGTCGTAGCTTTTCATTAAAGAATGTTGAAAGATGAGCTCCTTTGAGAATATCATTCTAGACTGAAATGCTATTGCCATTTCTTGGTAAAAGATTATTGAACTTAACACTGTGTTCAAATTCAAACACACTGTATTATACAAGAACTTTGTCGTGGAGTTTGACTTAAGTGGTACTTCAGTACGTAACAAATCATATCCATATTTTAACTACATTTGGTTCTCTTGGCTTGAAATGGGAAGTGGCAATTTAAAAAGTAGGTAAGATTGTTAATTTTTACAAATTTTGTGTACAGTACAAATGAATATCACACACACACACACAGTTTAATTTGGCACGTTCAAACTTTACTCTAAATTGATAATTTTACAAAATTTTAAGTTGTTTTAATTGGGAAAACGAAGTAAATCATTCAAAGAATAGATTAGTGAAAGTTTTGTCTGATTTTTTTTTTCGTTTTATATTATTTAGGTTCTCCACTTCCTCTATTCTTAACAAGTAGGGAAGTACCAGAAAAAGTAAAGTCCACAGCTAATGCAGCAGCTAAAAATACCAGTGATAAAGAAATTGGCCAATCGTTTGAAATATCCACAACTAATACAGCCACTAAAAATGCCAGCGATAAAGAAATTGGCCAATCATATGAAAGTGAGCATTGCTAGTTGTTAATTACATACATTTAAAATTTATTTTCTTTTTTTTAAAACTACTCTTATAATCATATAAGTAATCATGGCTGTGGGTGTATTTATTTATTTGTAATATTTGATATTCCTAACTGTATGTGTGGATAGCCATTAAATATTTTTCTTATCTAAGTGCCATTGTTTTTATTTGATTCATACATCACAGCATGTTGACCAGGCTCATAGTGTATTAATAACTAATGTAGGTAACCATGTGACTATATGGTGACAAATGTCTCCATAGTTTTGTTTTCCTAGTGATTTACAAATTGATCTATTCCAACAGGTGTGTTAAACTACATACCTAAAGGAACAGGTATAATAGCTGAAATCAGAAATAAATCTTCTGTTTATTTTTCATGATACATTTTTACAGTGAAAGGAATTCCAAAGTAAAATAGGTTATTCACTTGTAAGCTTTTGATATTGTAGTATAGATTATTATTATTTATTTAACTTTTTTTTCAGAGATAGAAAGCAAAGCAAATAGAATACTTTATGCCAAATCATATGATCTCTTAATAATTGACATTAACAGTCTTTTTAAAATTATTTCATACTAAAATTCAAAGTTTAATTAGTGCTTGTCAACTGCTTGTTTAAATCAAGATAAAATTTGTCTTCAGTCAGTGTTTCCTGATAAGTTACACACGTGTGTAACATCAGTTTGTAAATATTTGACCAATTCAGAGAGTTAAAGCCTGAATGTACGTAGTGCATTTCTTCTAGATTGTCGTATTTTGTTGGCTAAATTTCACATGTGAACTATATTTTAATTCAAAGCATTGAACTGGAAATGAAAGTAAAATATCAGTTAATATAAATGGATGATAAAGCCCTTTCAAAATATTTTCTTAAACTACATCTTTAGTAAGTTAATAGTTAGGAAATTGGAATCTTGTATGTTAGTAGTTTATTATTATTATGGTTAAAACTTCCATGCATAGTTCTGGGATCTCACTCCATTGTAAAAATAGAAAAATGATTACTTGAATGTAACATGACTTAGTATTATTGAACTGACACAAGACTTGTCTGGTGATTAAACAAAAAGGTGATAATATTAGTTTGTCTTGAATCTAAGTTTCAAATGGACAGCAAGTGCCTGTTGTAGAAACATACAACTGTAGAGGACGACATTTGATTGTTTCTACAATAGGCAGTTGCTATCCATTTGAAACTTAGATTCATTATAAATACTCTGCCTAAACAACCTATCAAAGATTGGCTTGTCTTGTTGACATCTGTTTCTAGTGCCTACAGAATCAATAAAGTGAAGCTTTGATCATGGTTCTATATAATAATTGTAAAAGAACTAAAAATGGATCAAACTGGTTGTGATTATAGGTGCAGAACTTCTGCAAGTCAGGAACTCTCCAGTGGACTTGCTAAGCCAACCCATACCAAGTAGTGTCCCTTCTCCTGAACTGCACCCAGAGCTGCAGTCATTGGCAGAGAGAGACCTAATGGGATTTGATTCCCCAAAACCATCTTCTCCGGGTAGGTGTATCACTTGAAATCTGATCTCTACTTTTGAATTTGCCATGTAATAGTACTAATGTAAAATAAAGATAGTAAATTAAAATCTGAATAAATTATTAAAATCCATGAAAACAAACTTAAAAACTTTTCTTCCAGTTATGTGCATAATGTAATTCAGCAGTGGATTGTACAGAGTATGGTGTAATTCATTATATCTTTAACTTGTACACATTCAATGTTTTGTTGTACTGATTTTATGATGTTTGAATGTTGTACAGAAATTGTGCCTTGCTGATGTTTGTTTTTTGGCAGATATGTAAAACATGTATCAGTAAAAAGAAATAAAGAATCATCTTTTACAGAAGACTAAAAAGTAATCATGGGGGGACCATTCTTCATAAATTTGCCCCTGGTGAAAAAAGAGACACCTTTCTAAAGTGTTTGGGTTATAGGATTTTATATTTTCTATCATATGGGTGAAGCATTTTCTGTGTAGTTAGGGCACACTGTTGTACCTTAATTGAATTTTGAGTATTTGTAGTAACATATTCCTGTGCTTTTTCTAAGCTCTGTTGGAAGAAGAACAGGAAGCTGAATTCCAGTTGAGCACGCTGCCCTTGCAGTATCCTTCAGTCAACCTAACTTCGTCCTGTCCACTGCCAGCAGTAGCTACTAGTTCAGGTTATTCATACCAACCAGATTGTCCAGTATTAGCTTACTCCTCACTTCCTCCCAGCTCTCAGCAGCAAACTCTTAAAGCCAGTACCTGCAACGATCATGGTGGATTTAGCACGCTTCCTCGAAACATGGCAAAGTCCCGACCTGACTCCCTTTCTTACGAGGATCTTACTATCATTGGGCGTGAAGATGGTTTTCCCAGTACTCAGAGCACTCCAACACGGGGACCCACTAAAGTTTACCCCCGAAGTCGTATTGCAGCCCATTTTCCTATTCCTTTGGAACCCAGATATTGAAAGCTGATTGACATTAACTCTTAAGTGTGTGTGTGTTGTTCAATTTTTTCTTACTTTTTCACTAAAGTGCATTGGTGTGTTGTTTTTGTCAAAGAACAAAGACTGTTATATATGTCTACAAACCATATTTTGTTTAAGGTATAAGAAGCTCTTGAAAATTTTTTTCCCCCTTTTTTAATGGCAAAATGATTTTGTCATAAACAATGTGTTCCGAATGGTATTTCTATTTTATGAATCCTCAAAATGTAATATGAAATGTGGCTTTTTTTCATGATATGTCTTTAATGGTGCCATAGGAAGTACAGCGTGTATTTCGGAAAAAATTGTGTAAAATTGGTGCATATTAAAGTTTCATTTTCTTTGTTCTTTTTTTTATTATTTATTTATTGGGACCAATGAAGTTGAATTGTCATTTCTTCTTTTGTATTATGTGTTTAATACAAAGTACTGAAACTGACAAAGTTGATTTTATGAAGTAATTTAAGTGTAGGTTAATGGTTTTGTTTAAAAGGTAGAACCCAGTGATTTTAGTAACTATGAAGTTTGAAGTTAATCTTGTAATAACTGTATTGTTTAGGGGTAATGAAGAAGCTCACCACACCACCATTCTTAGTTTCCTGTGATTTACTAGATGTGTTCGTAATTTAAGGTTCCGAGTTATCCAGAGAGATTTAGTTTACTTGTAGAATGAAATGTAAACATTGATGTATAGTGTTGTTAAAATAGTCTGTGCAGAAGGTTTTGTATTAAAATGCATTGTAGATCTATTTTTACAATGTTCAGTTTGCATACTGAGGCAAAGAAACGTTGTTGCTATAGTTACCCTGCTAGTAGTAAGGGTAGTACGGTTGTTGTGGCAACAGACTTTTACTCCTACAATACACTGTGTATTTGGAGTGATCTGAAATGGCAAAAGTACCTTGTTACCCCTTTTTGTTATGCTCCAAGAGTATTATTTGGAGATTGTAAGAGGGGAAGGTAATTTGTCAAATGAAAGGTATTCAGTTTTCTTTGGCCTCAGTTGAACTATTAATTTCTAAGCTACATTTCTTTTAATAGATATGTAGTGCATTAGAAAATTACTCGGATTTTTTATTGTATGTAGACAACTCCAGTATTACCCTCTTTAGTGAAATCTTTTTTTTTTGTGACTTACATGTGAAGTGGAAGTAATCAGGCTAAGAAATTAAGAATTTTACCTTTCTTTGAATCACAGGTAGTACACTACCTTGTAGTAATGGAAGTACTTAGATCTCTCTATGAATAGTATATTTCTTTATTGGAATTTTTTGGGGGAGAGGAATTCCATGTACAAAAAAAAAAGGACTTGCTTGTCTCCTCAGATATGGACTGGAATGTATTTGAACTGTAGTTTTCTTTTGCACATTAAATTTGTAGCTTAAAAATGTTATTGAATTGAAGTTTAGGATTTTGCTTGTTTGTTAAAAATGAAAGCCAGAGTCTAGACTGTATTGAACATAAAAGGTTATATGTTTGTCAAATACAAACTAATAAATAATTTTGAGCTGGTATGTTGTGTGTGATTTCCTAATTGTTTAGATTTGTAGAAATTAAATTTTCTATTACGCTGTTTAATTATACAAAATTACATGCCTGGTTCATCAGATATGGAAAGTAAGACTTGCTTTTGGTAGGGAATATCTAGCCAGATCTGGTACAGGATGGACATGTTTCCTAAATCTGGCTAGATATATCAAATCTCCTATTTAAATCAGATGTGGGAAATTTATAGTTAGCCACATTTTAAAGATAATTTCAACAAAAGGGGGCCAAAGGTCGCTTGGAGGTGTCAACCATTTTAACCACTTGCACCAATATACAGTACTATGTTGTCTATCAGTCAGTCAATAGAAACTACAATGACATCACATAAGGGATAGTTAACATTGCAATTTTTACTGTTGTGTTGCCAGTGAAACATGTCATGAATCACAAGAAAAAATAAGGGATCTAAAAGCTACAACACAGCATGGCATAAGAACTTCAAAACCAACAAATAAGTTTAATTTTGGTATTTACTCTTGAAACAGACACTTATGGGAACAATGTGGAAGTACATCTAGTATACTGTAAATGTTTGGGAGAAAATCTGGATTCTAGGTGTAACTTTATACAAAGCAAGACAGTTTTGAAGCTATGAAAGTTTATTTCTTGGAGGCAATGAGTAAAGGTACAATTTATGATCTGGATACAAGAGTAGAGGAGTTTGGTACATCATTAAATAATCAGCAAACAGGCCATACAATGAATGTTTCTGGTAAATGTGTATTGAAATGAAATGATACTTGTGCACGTACGTTGTGAAATTAAAAATTAGAGCACATTAGCCCTCCCCTTCCCACAGTAGCTGACTCATGAGTCTGGAGGCTTTATAATGTTATAAACCGGGTTTTGATACCCGTAATGGCATTGTATACATAGCCCATTGTGTAGATTTTTGCTTAACATAGTCTACATAAATTCTAATCCTGGGTAACTGTTTCCTCTCCCCACACACAAACTGTCATGTTGAAGTGATGTTAATAATTAGAAAAAAACTGCAAGCAAGTTTACCCTGACGTGGGTCTGTTGAACTAATTTTTATGATCACAACATTAGTCGGTTATATGCTAGTTATTTTATTGAGCATCCCTCCAGTGACACAGCGGTAAGTCTGAAGGCTTATAAGGCTACGAAACAGGTTTTGAGACCCGTGGTGGATACAACACAACCAGCCACTTTTATAGCTATGCGCTTAACTACAAACAAACAAATTATTAATTATTAGATGAGGTCTCGTGCATCACTTGGTGCGGAGAGGATTAAGTAACCGTTTGATGCATAGCTTTTGGAAAATTTGCTAGATAGGTGTGGATGGTATAGTTCGTATTTTAGTTAAATGTTGTTAAACTCAAATTAAATATAGCCACAGATCTGGGTTTTTGTAAGGGCTCGTAATAGCTTTCGTAGTCATGCTTTGGAATAGAGAGAACATTTTCAATTTAGATGCGAAAAGTATTCATTAGCTGCAAATAATGAAATTATTAAAATACATGTTCAATATCAAGACCACCCTCATCTTGGCATACGAATCATAAACAAGTTTAATTTCCTGTTTCTAGCATTTTTAATTGTAACATTTTATATTCTATCATTAAATCTTTACACCCGAGATTACTATTAAGCTTAATGTTCAAGCACCTTTTTACTTTAACTGCTTGGCTTTGTTAAGTGAACTGTGAAATGAATTCTAAGAAGCCGTGGAGCTCGCCAAATTCAGTATCTAATGGAGTAATGTAGCAAACGGAAATTTTATTCAAACGTAAAAAATATATGAAAAATTATACTTAACTGCCAAAATGAAGCCTAATATAATATCATATGTTACTTTGTTGGTAGAGGTGTCGTAAAGTAACAAGAGACATCCGAAAGTTTTAAAATTAAATACAAAATCGCTGAACCAATGTATCTAAATTGTGCATAACCTGCACGTAAAGTAAGTCATAAAAAATAGAAGATTTTAAAACTGACTGTCTAAAAAGAATAAAATATATATACTGATTGTCAAAGAAAGCTGTTTTCATGGAATATATATATCATCTTTTTTAATGGTCAAAAATTGTTTAAACTAAAGGAATATATTGTGAAAGGTTATTTTTGTCATCTGTTTTGTTTTT